ATGATGAATGCTAAACAAACTGTGGGAGATTAGCAGAACCAGTTACTGGTAAACATATCGTGAGCCGATTTATAACCAGCTAAAAAAATCAGACACAATTTTAACATATCTAAAGCATTCAAATTCTTGAAACGTCTTACTAAATACGAGTATTTTTGACTCTTGTTTTTATAGCCAGATAAATTCTGTCTGAAAAGCGTCGAAACTTTACTCAAATACGTAAATAAAACGCATTTGTAAAAAGGCTTTTCCTTACACACATCCTTTAGATAAATCCTTTCAAAATAACTTCTTTATTTCAAATCAGATTTGGACAATGAACAGTTACTACGGAGGCCGCCCGAACTGGCCTTGATTTAATCTGATCCCAACCATGTTTTTCAGTAATTACCTTCCTTTTGCGTGCTGAGAACTCCAGGCAGTGTGCCTTATCCGTCGTCACAATACTGGTCAGTCTTGAGAGCTCGAATCGCCAATTCAGCAGATCGACGAAATCACCAACACTGTCAACAATATCACCTAAGGAAAAGATCATTAAAAGAACGAGAACCTCTCATTCAAGTTAACTGTTAATGCGGTTGTATTTAGTGTATGTTTGAGGAAAAATGCAAAGAGAGGTCGAAATTAACTTAACTAGTTAAATCGAAAATATAAAAACCAGAATGGTATGGATTTTTGTATGGTCGCGGTCTCCTTTCTTTGTACATAAGTTTTTTGATTTTGTTTTCGCAACTTGGCCATAATGGCAGGAAGAACGAACTTTGTCTCTGACGAGCTGTAGTGTGGTGCTAAGAATGGCAAGACTGACTGACGATGCCGGCGAAGCGTCTGGGAATGTACCACGTCCACGGTCCGACTCTGGAAATGATCATGCATACTATGAACTCCGGACGAGGCGCGTCTCTCTAGGTCTTCCTGCCAATATCACCAAGTTACGAAGACAGTCAAAAATTTCTTAACTAATTAATGCTTATATAATATAAAAACGTTGGCAGTTCAATGCAAAATAAAAGCAGAAAAAAAGGAGAATTCGTGAGGAATAACAGCGAATAACCAGTAAAGTGAATATAGCTGCGAGTAACAATTATTTAAAACTCTTGAAAGCACCTAACGAACATCCTTTGGTAGATAAGCACCATATGGAATTTCGCTGATGGAATATTACCATAAATGTAAATTTTAGTGTACGCGGATCTTTCTACTTGCATTTTATAATCTAATTTATTAGGAAAATTTCATTGAATTTCATATTGCCTACTTCTACAATCGGGAATACATCTTCAACTCACCCAAAATGACAACATCATGTGGTCTCGGGTTCCTAAGAAAAGGGCCGACTATCTCATGATTGAGCAAGACCCGAGGGACATGGAATGGACAGGCGTCTGCGAGGCAAGCAAAGGGCTTCACCTGACAAAATTGAAAGTAAAAACACAAAAGTACTTTGAATAAAGCATTCTACATACACTCAAGTCCCTCTTAGCATAGTGTCCTTGACGAAATAAATAAATGGCTCACAAAAGAATAAAGATGTAGGCTTGATTTGGCCAATGAATTTCATAAGTCGATATGATTTTGCTCTCATTGGATAGCTTCACTAGCAATAAGCGTAATCCCTAATCTATTAACTTTAATAGCCTCTCTTATCTTCCTTTTAACAGCAGACGTACCATAAT